CTTGACTACGTTCAATGTAATGAATGTTGTGGTATAATGCGGTTAGTTACTGCATGATTTATATTAATCACATGACTTTGACATCTGTTTTAGAATGAGCATGTGAAAAGAGACATCTTCAACAGTGCACTAGTAACCAATATAAAGGTATGAATAATGGTAGTGCTTCAGCGAATAAAGAGCTGAAAAGTCTTAATGATGAACAAACAGGCTGAGGGACCATGTATGTGTCAGCATCCACATCTTGAGATACTTTAGACCTGTATCTCCCTGTGTAGGTAGCACTAATGGCTTAAAGCGCAAGATCAAGTAATATTTATCTCAAACTTTTTTTTTGTTCTTGATATGATTTTTATTTTGCTGTGCATGTAGGGCCAATTTTGCAGTCTAAATTAGTTGGATCTATTCCAGTTATTCACAGATGTCCATAAAGGCTGCCACTTTTTGTTTTATTCATTGGGCTGTGACAATGGTTGCAAAGTTCATCAATTGTCACTGGTAAGGCTGTGGTGACCTGTACAATTCATGTGGTATAGGTACACCTAGGGAGTACTAAGAAGGGAGTTCCAGGGTTTTGACCAGGTGACAGTAAAGAAAAGACAAAACAGTCGCAATTTAAGATGTTGTGGAGCTTGCAAGAGAACTTGGTGGTTTCCATTTGCTTGCTACTTGTGTTCATCTGGGTTTGGAATGTGTTATCAAACGATCCTTTGTTAAACTGCTGGAGTACATCTTGTTCATGGTACGTTGATGGTCTAACCACCGTGCTACGGAAGAAATGAACATTTCGGGGTGGAGGTGTATGTGGACAGATTGTTCTGGTTGAGTGTTGGAGCTGTGCAGATGGATTCTATCCTACCTTGTCTAGTCTCTCGTGTATCTTGTGCAGGCCTTGTGGGGTCAGGTTTACTGCATGTGGACATAGCTTCATTTAGCAGGATCTGCTGAATTGTATCCTAAGCTGTCTTTTTTTCCTTCGAAGCAAGTGAGGAAATAGCAGAAGCTCTGAGGATCAATTTCCAACCATCACATGTTGGCTACCAAATGATTGAAGATTTGCATGTGATGTACTGTTATTGAAAAAGGTTGCGAAGGATGGACCAAATAATAGTCTGACCTTGGTGGAAAAATTACTAGAATCAATATTGAGAGATCGGAACAACTTGGCTAGAGAAACAGATCAGTCAGGAATAGTCTGTAGGGATTTGTTAAGATAAGTTCATGTCTTACTAACTTGGTCTAATGTTTTGAGGCAGTAGCAGTAGAATTGGATGTTTTCTACATGGATTGTAGTAACACATTTGACAAGATTGACATGGCAAAAATAAAGCCTATGGGACATGTGTGGTGAGTTGGAACTAAAATTGACTTGGCAACGCAAAGTCAAAGGTAATTGTCGATAGCTGCCTTTACAAATGGAAACAGCTTTCCATGGTGGTCCACAGGGCTCATTTGGGTCTGTTGCTATGTCACATTTATTTATGATTTAGACTAAAGTGAGAGGAACATTTGAAAAATTTGCAGATGATGATAATTGGCCGAGTAACTGTGAAATGGATGGCTATTGATTGCCGAATGGCATCAGTAATTTGGCTGACTGTACAGAAGTGAAAAATGGAATTCAGTCTGGAGAAGTGTAAGGTTATGCACTTGGAGAGGGCAAAGAAAGCAAGGAATAGACGATGGTAGGGGAGAGTATTGAGTGATGTAAAGGAAGGGAGTTCTTGGATAAGGTGGTGACAAAGGCATATTGGTGATGTGTTGAATACAAAAACAGGGGTGTAATGCTAGAACTAAGTAAGGCACTGGTTAGGCTACAGCAAGAGTTTTGTATTTAGATATGGGCACCACATTAAAGCATAATTTCTCGAGAGGGTAGTGGGGAGATTTGCAAGAATGTTGCCAGGGCTTGAAAGCTGTAGCCATGAGAATAGTTTGGATGCCCCCATTCTAAAGAAAACAGGAAGTCTGATTTCATTGAGATGTAAAAAAGAACAAGGAGCCTGGGTCAAATGGACAATAAAGATCTGTTTCTCCCTTGAATGCAGATACACAGGGGACATAGATTAAACGTAAAAGGATTAGAAACAACATGGGGGAAATGTTTACCAGAGAGTGGTAGATGTTTGGCGTTCACTGTCCATTTTAGTAGTTGAGACAGAAACTCATTTAAAAGAACCCTGGATTTGCACCTGAAGTGCTATAATCTGCCAGGCTGTTGACCAGGTGCTGGTAAGTGGGATTAGAATGAGTGGCTAGTCAATTCAGTCAGTGAAGATACAGTGACCTGATTGAGTCTTTCCTGTGGTTCTGTCACTATAAAAGTGTGATTATTTAGAAATTATGGAAACAATTGATGTAATATGGAGGTAGTAGGTGTCTGAGTAAAGCCTAAACATTAAGAAGATTTGAGTCTGAATTGGATTAAAGGTCAGTATCTCAAAAGAGAATCAGTGCATTACTGTAGCAGATACATTATTTTTCATGCAATGAACACTATTCCAACTCTGGATGAAAGGGGAAGATGAGGTTGTGAAGACCTGAGAAACAAAGCCACAAGGAGGCCGAGATTGACTACCCAAATATTTAGCCTTCATTTGGCTCAGTGGAAATATGGCCGGGTTGACAGTGAACAGCAACAAAAGTGTGCACAGCAGATGAAAAGATGTGCAAGAGCTGTGTATAACCACAAACTCACGAGGCAATGTCCTGCATTACACCATGAGTTTGTGGAAATCATAATCATTGGGAAGTATGTGTAGAACACAGGAAGACAGTAAAGAATTTATTCTAGACTGAGCAAAACGTTGGATGAGAAGGAAAAGGAAACCAAACATCCATATCCCAGAAGATGGTACCAAGAATCCAATAAACATAAAAATGACAACTGCATGAAATGTTGAGGTGAAACAGGTCTCAGTAGACATGCCCATGCCATTTGGATTGGAAAGAAGATGAGAAATCTCAGACCTAAATCTAAAGCTTCATACTGGAGCACGGAGTAACATCATGCTTGTCAGACAATATTAGAAATTAATTCTTTCACCTTTTTTTAGAAAGGAATGGTTATACAAAGAAATTTTAAATATCCTGATCTGAAGTCATTTGGGGAAACTGATTTGAAAGCCAGGAACAACCCAAATTGGAGGGACACAAAGGAAAAGGATGTTAACTGCATGTTTGTGTCATACAAACTGATTAGCTCTGCTTTCCTGGGATTGAACAGTTGGAAGTGTTGCAACTGCTATAAACTGAAGGTGGTGTCATGGAGATTAAAGATACCACACCCACTGATTTGCAGTCAGATTCCAGAGGCCAATATTGAAAGACATGAACTCTTGACAGAAAAGATGGCTAATTCAAAGTTCAAACAGCTAAAAAGATGATTTTCAGAGATTTCCAGCACTCCAAGCTAATAGATAAAGATAAAGAATAAAGCCACTGACTTTGAAAGGCTTAAGCATTAAGGTGCTGTGCTGAAAATGAGCATTTTTGGAAGAGAAATTGCAAGCTGTGCAGTTAGAGGAGACATCTAAGAAGGAGATCGAGACCTGTCAGGTCAAAACTTCAACAGCACGTACTTTAAACAGAAGAATTTGAACATGAAGTACTGAGGTCAGCAAACCAAATTGAACTGCAGAATTAGCTGAGTAATATTACTCAGTGGGAGAATGATTTACAGGAGATTAATAACAAATTGAGAAATGCTAGAGTGCTTAAGACAAAATGATAAAGTTAAAATGGCAAGCAGGACGCAGGCAGAGCAGAAAGCTGAGTAAACTAGAAGACTGGCAAGCAAAATGGTTGGAAGAGAATGATTAGCTGCAGAATCTTAAAAAGTTTGAAGAATGCTAGCCTTGTCATTTTCTCGGATATTGCAAGGAGTCTGACTGCAAAGAAATGAAGTAAATGTGACTTCCTGATTCGTTGAAATTAGGAGTTCATCATAAAGCCAGCTGATAAAGAGACTTCAAGTTCGTTCATGCTGATGCATGATGAGCATCATTTTAACATGTTGTGTCTGCACTCTCATGAAATTTAAACATGAACATAACTTCAGTTGGAGATGTATGGCTTTTATGCTGTACTTTTTTAGATTATTAACCATCAAGTTATTCTTGTATGACATTACATCGTGCAGTATCACAGCCAGTATGTCAAGTGATTTTTTAAAGTCTAATTACAAGTACAGGTGCAGTTCTAAGTGGATGAGAAGCACTAATTAAAGGATGAACTTGAACAGAAACCATGAGAGTTATCAAAGTTCTCTTCTTGAAATTTTAAATGAAACCTTTTTAAAGTAACATTTTCATAACCAACTTTTATTTACTCCTGTATCATCTAAATAGCGTCTGGTTGTTTTTCAAAGGCAACAAAAAAAGTCTGCCAGTTGCATTCACCTTCTGTCTTGCTGTACCATTTTCACATTTTTGAGTCTCAAATGTCCATTTGACTCTTATTTGTAGTATTTGTCTGTGGGATGTTGATCACAGAAATCATAATAGAATTGTCTTTTTAAGTAAACTACGCACCTGAATAATACTGAAACCAAAGTGAAAGTAAAATATACTAGTGGGATTTAAAGCTAATGGATAATATGGTCATAACTCCTCTTTGGTTCTATGGCAGAAAGTTATTTATATTCATATACCTACCTAATGTAAGATAGTTTAGCATTAAAAATTTATTTTTTTAATCATGTTTGAATCTGTTGTGATGTACTTCTGTCACAAGTGTCTTGAATTCTGATCCAGGAGGAGAGACACTTCCATCGCGCTCCAAGACCTCCTTAGCATTGAGACTTTGAGCAATTTTATCCTGTCACTTATTTATAATGTAATTTGTATACTTGTATTACAAGGTGGTTGGTTCAATTAATGAATCCGAAAATTGGTGGGATGGGAGTTTGGGTTGGAAGCAGAGAATATGTTCCTTCCTTTGGTAGTGTGATTGGCTTGTAAATACTTAATGAGCTCTAATTTATTATTTTTCTTCCTCAGGTGTCCATATTTGGCGATACATCTTTCCCCTGCCATTCCAGTGTTCGCAATAATTCTCTTTATCTTTGTGATGGCAATGTTACTCCGTACCAGTTTCAGTGATCCTGGTGTGCTCCCACGAGCTGAGCCAGATGAGGCTGCGTTTGTGGAGATGGAAATAGGTAGGAAAAATGGAACACAAAGTAATTGACTTTGACTTTTATATTCAATGTTTTTTTCACGCTTTTGCAGTCAAGTAAAAATGAAAGTCATTTTCAGAAATTGAGTTTACTGCTAGTTTGTAGTTTGTTTGACTGTTAGCATAGTGAAGTGTTCAGAATTTTAAAATGCAAGTAGGACTTCTCATGGTTTTTATAAAGCTTCGGACAGTTTGTCTAGTTTTCAGTAGAAGTGAGTTTATTTGAAGTTGCACTTGACCATATTATTGTCATACTTGGGAGATGAAGATTGTTTCCTGCATTGGGGCAGGAGGGAAGTTACACCACCAATTCTTTATATACAAGCACCTATATCAAGGTCCTTATGCTCCTATAGAACCATACTATTTTTTTTTGTGTGTTCTTCCTCATAAATGAAAAACAGCTGTGCATTAAGTGTCATTTGCTCATTCAACTTGTCTGTCCTCTTTTGAAATTCTACACTATCCTCCTTGTAGTACATAACACTTCCAAGTTTTGTATCAACAAATTCCCTGTAAACCAAGGTCTAGGTTATTAATGTGTATCATCAAGAGCAAAGATCCTGTCAGCAACTGTGGGGGAAATTCCACTACAAACCTTCCTCTGGCCCAAATCCATTAATCGCTACACTGTTGCCGGTCACTCAGCCAATTTTGTATCCATTTTGCTACTATCCCTCCTACTCCCAGGCGGAGGATAACTTTCTCAAAGTATGATCTGTGATATTTTTATCAAATGCCTTCTGGAAGTCCATGTACACACTAATTACCCTGGTTAACCCCTTCCCCCTTAATATTCCTGCTGAAAAACTCCCAAGATAACATGATTTGCCTGTGACTCTGTGCTGGCTTGCCTGAAATAATCCACATTTGTCCAAGTTTGTTCCAATTTACTCTTTCTAGAAGCGTCTACACCACTGAAGTTAAAGTAACCGGCTTGTAGTAGCTGAGCATATTGTGTGCACCCCTATTCAAAATCATGATGGCAACATTTTCAGTTGCTCAGCCCTCTTGCATCCCTTCAAATTGAAGGGAGGTGGGAAAATTGACCAGTATCTCCCATATGTTCACACTCCCTTCAGTTTCCTTAGTGTCTCATTTGGTCTTAGGACCATTTCTAATTAATTCAGAAACCTGAAGCAATTACAATTAGTTATCTCCTTTTGCTGCCATGACATTGCTGTTCAATAAAAATTGTGGCTGATCCGATTTTTAACCTAAACTCTAGATTTGCACATATCGCCAAGAATCCTTTATCTCTTGGCAATGAAGAATCTACTACTGTCTTTAAAAATTTAAAAATTCTGTATTCACTGCCTTTTGGAGAGCTGGGGACATTTTAATTGTTATATTTTTAATAAACAGGTGGATTGAAGGAAAGAATATCTTGCTAATTTGAGTTTTGTCATAACTGATGGAACCCATTTTGAAGTGGCCTGACTACTTATTTAATCCTATCTAATCCTAAACTAGTGTCTCATTCTCCAGTATTTCTAATATGCCACTTAAATTTCTACTTGTACTGTCCTAGAATTGATACCCTTGTTTGTGGCAATTGAACTGAAGAAATTATCTTTGTGTGCCCTTCCTTCAATCTTGTGGTCTTCTCTTGAAATTAAGACTCTTCTACCAAATCTGCCTTTCTTGTTGTTGTATCAATATTAAGGAATGTTGACATTTCTTGTTCTTGTAAATCTTTAAGACCTCTGGTGTTTTTTTTAAATACCTAGTGTTCCCCATTTGTCTGTCGTTGTGATTGTCCTCTGTCCTCTGGTTTTGAATCTTTTCAGTTTTTTTGTTCTTTTTACACTTCCTTGGTCCTATGCACTATGGGCTTTGGCCTTTCATGTTGCAATCACTCAAATTTGGTTTAATTTCTTGCCACTGATCACCACCTTTTTTGTTTTCCCATTGTTATACAAATGACTCCACTCCATTTTCATTGGCCTCTCCCCTTAATTTTGCTTGAAGAAGCAAGTTATTATGGGAGTGGGGGCAGACACTTGCACAGCCTATTTTAAATAGAGGGATCCCAAAAGCTTAAGGAAAGTATACGAATCATCTTGGTTCTTGTATTATGCACAATAATGATATGCCCGGTTTATTTGAATCCTGGACTGTGTTTTATTTTTATTATACTTCATTTTTTAGTTGTAGTATTTCATTGTGGGCCTATAATTAAGAGACACTGTTCAAAAGTGTCTTCTGATCCATGCTGGTTAACTATTAGTGGAATTTAACTCCCTTTGAAATAGGAAGTATGTTACATAGGATGATGTAGATATACAGCACAGAAAGACCATTTGGGCCTCCAATCCGTGCAGCTGATCACGATGTACTTGAACCTCTTGCTATCTTTTCTCATTTATCTTTTGCAAGTGTCTTGTCCCTCCTCCCACATTTTTGTATTCAATCGTGGGGGGAGTTGGACATAGTTGGCTAGACCAGCATTTACTGCTCATCTCTAATTACCCAGAGGGCAGTTAAAAGTCAACCACAGTGCTGATGGGTCTGGAATGACTGAGGCCAGACCAAATAAAGATAGCAGTTTCCTTCCCTAAAGAACACGAGTGAACCAGGTGGGTTTTTCCAACAATCAGCAATGGATTCTTGCTTATCATTAGACTCTTGTTCCAATTTTTACTGAATTCAAATTCCGCCATCTATGTTCCCAGAACATTGCCTGGGTTTCTGGAATAACAGTTCAGCGATTTATTGCCATTAGGCTAAATTCCACTTGAAAGCATCTGTATTATTTGCTCGAACCTCTTTGTGATAGCAAGTTCCACATAATTACTATTCTTTGGCCTTTCCAAAAAAAAAGTTTCTTCCAAATTCCCTTTGTGGATTTCCTGATGTGGAGGTGCTGGTGTTGGACTGGGGTGGGCAAGGTCAGAAATCACAAGACACCAGGTTATAGTCCAACTGATTTGTTTGAAAACACAAGCTTTGAGTGTAGCACCTTCATCGGGTGAAGTGCTATGCTCCGAAAGCTTGTGTTTTCAAATAAACCTGTTATGTTATAACCTGCTGTTGTGTGACATCTGGATTTCCTGATGCCGTGCTTATATAGATAGCTCTAGTTTCCCTGTTTCTACAGGAGGAAACCATTTTTTTTTTCTTCTTCTTTGTTTTATAACTTTGAAGGCCTAGAGCAAATAATCTGTTTAGACTCAGCCGCCCCTCGATATTCTTCAATTAGGAAAGTAATGGAGTTCATTTAGTTTTGTACTTTCTACTCTTAAACTGGTCAAAGGCACATCTGATTTGAATTGAACTGAAGTTTCCAGCTACAGCATCGACACTGAGGGTCCTTCTGACCTATTCATCAATTTTGTTATAATATACTCTTTGTAGAAGGAGAGTTTACAGGCTACAAAGAAGGGTCATTTAAAAATTAGTAATGTTTGAGGGTTGAAATCCAGTCAACCTATTCCATTTTAAGTCTGTTTACTGATTAAACTGTTTGGTACTTCACCTTTTTGCCGAGAGTTCTTTGAGGATAAATTTTACCTTTGCCAATATCAGTTTATTCCAGCAATATTCTCCCTGTGCTCTGTCCAAGGTCTGCAGTCGTTGCTTTCAAAGTGCCAGCAGGCCTTATTCCCAGGATTTGCTTGCAATTGGTATTCCACAAAAGTAAGAAATACCCAGTGCCGCTTTTCCCCTCTGCTTTTTTTTAAGCCACGCAAAGGCATATGTGATAAAGGAAGAAAACATGATTGATATTTTCCTAGGAAGCAAGGAGAATGAGACAAACCTTACATTAGATCCAGGGAATCATTGAGCAATGTACATTATTATTATGTCTTGCACAATAGAAATTGGGTGTAAGCAAGGGTTGCGGAAGAGGTTTTCCAACTTCCTGATGGATTTGTGCAGCTATGAGTTGGAGCAACAGATGAGAATTGGGTCATCGTCTGTTGTCAGAATAATAATTGATTCAATGGGAAAAGAGTCATGTCTGATTATGCAAGGTATAATATGAAGTATGGTGTCAGGAAAGTGTAAAGTTGACTTGTACATAAAAAAAAAAAAAATGAGGCTTAAGGATTCTATGGCCAAAAGTCAACTTTTACACAAGATTGACTATTACTTGAGGAGAGGAAACAGTTCTGAAAGTTACTGATTCAATTTGGGTATCATAATGGATGGGTGAAATGTGATGTTTTGGATCTTTTGGAAGTAAGTCAATTTTAAATTAATTAGACTGGACTACAGTTAACAATTTTGGCTAATTATGGGAAACTAGAATGCAGATGAAATGTCTCTACTGATTTGACATAAGGTCACCTCTAATCAGTGGAGTGCTACCTGAGGCAAGCTTAGCGAATCCAGTGCTTTACAGGCATGAGTGCTGACAACAGCTCGAACACCTTCCTACCGGTGGTAAAATAGGTTGTCTGTGCATCACGACTCGATTTCTGTAGTTGGCTATTCTGAGCGAGATCTAGAATAATTGTTTTTCTTTGTTTCTTTGCCTCTAGTTTTGTGTCCCTTCAATGCATTTTTTTTTGTACTTTTATCTCAGACGTGCATCTTCAATGCTAACAGTGTGGAGGATCATATTGGCTGTCTGTCATAGAATCTTCCTGATTTTTTTTTTAAAGCAGCTAATTTACAATGGGTGGGCATTTGTTCTGCCAGCTTACTTTGCTTGTGATAAAGTTGAAAATGTCCACCCTAATATTCTTTTTGCAGCAGCTTATTTTTCCCCAAGTCTATAGGCAGGTTCTACACTACTTTCACTCTGCTTTTTGTCCTGCATATAACCACATGTAGTGGTAATCGTAGAATCTGTTAGAACATGTTTGCAAGCAATTTTTCTTTTGGTGCAAATAAAACTGCAGTGAATAGTGAGTCAGAAGTGGAATAAATTCCACTTTGTGTGATTCGTATAGAATTACCTATTTCATTAAATTGCTGTTTCTAGTTGGCTGCAGTTACTCGTACTTAGAATATCAGCATGAAGCAGAAATAATTGTTAATTATGGATAGATTTTTCTCACAGTACAGTTGCTATTTTAATCACATGGGTTTCTGACTGAGTGTAATCGCTCTAAAATAGTACCCTTACATTAAAATCATCATTTATTTAATATTGCCTGCTCAGTGTGGTGATAATTCATGGAAGTAATAAGAGAATCTGAATATATTTCAGTTACAGCAACTACATAGCCAGTGAACTAAATTATTAACTTTTTTTGCCTTTTGTGACAAGGGAAATCTTAATGTCTACAGTTCAGATAGTTGTTGTGTGACTGAGACCCAGCATGTTTGACGCTAAGTAAGAATAAACTGTTCTTGATATCTGAAATTGCAAACATTTATGACAATCATGTTGCTTCTTACCCTAAAGATCTATCAACAGAAATAAAATATTTGGATTTAAAAAGACAGACATATAAATTTATAATAATGCATTACACCCCCACGCAATACACCATGAATGGACAGGACCAAATTTGAATCTCCATATTGTGTCAATTAATTTGAAGAGTAAATAATTTCAGAAGTAAAAAGTTTTGAAATATTCGGAAACCTAAAGAAATTCTACATTTCAAATATGAAATTATTTTCATTGAAATTGAGTAAATAGATTTTGCTTTTCAGACTAAACCAGTAGCTTGTAAGCTACAAATATGGTGAAAATCCTTTTTTTTTTCATCAAGGTGATAGTTATGGAGTGCGGAATGCCTCCAGTCCACCCCACCTCCTGCAGGAATTGAATTTTTTGAACTCAATCTCTTTCTTTTTTTTTTTAAAAAACACATTTAGGTTCTCTGTACTCGGGTTTTCTTTTTTTTGTTATAAATCTGTTTTTGTTTTAAATCTGCCTCTCCAGTGCACTTTCAGTGTGATTGCTGGCCTCCAGTGTTTTTTGCAGATGGTCAGCCTTTTAAGAAATAGATATAGTCAAACTTATATTTTTTTCATTGTCATGTATGAAATCCCAAAATAACTACTTTTTGACTGTGTTCAATAGTCAGCCAAGCTAGTTAAAGGTTTCAACCGTTGATTCAAAGGTATTAATTCAGTAATTGCTCCCAAATCCTTTTATATCTTACTTCTGAACAGTCTGTTCTGTGTATATTTGCTGATTACTCTTTTCCAAGCAGGAATTAATCTTCCTAATTTAGTTCAGTTCTGTTTTTGCTTTCCCTAAATGGTTATGTAACTAAAGTGATATTAGTCTATTTTTTTTTCCCTAAATCTCTTATTTCTTTCTGCTACTGATGACATTGACTTCTTTTTCAAAAGCAAAATTTTGTAAAGTTCTATTATATCAGTGAGAGTGGGGTTTTGTAATAAATTGGTCTCTTTTTGTGGAAAATGGGACTCCCCACAGCATAGAAATGAAGTATCTAGCTATTTTTTCAATAATGCTAAGTATCTTGAATCTAGTTGAGTCAATGTGTAACTGTTGACCTTTAAAGCTGGAGGCTGTTAGTGGATTCGTGCCAGTAGCCTCTATTCCATTTTTATTCAATGTGACTTTGATCTTTGTTCTCTATTTAACTTAATTATGCTTTTATTTATTTTATTAATTTTTTTTACTGTTTAGTTAACAAAGTTTGTGTTTTCTTTATCTTAATCTCCAGAGGCAGCCAATGGGAATGTCCCAGCAGGCCAGCGACCACCACCAAGAATCAAAGATATCCAGATAAACAACCAGATTATCAAATTGAAATACTGCTACACATGCAAGATATTCCGCCCGCCTCGGGCATCCCACTGTAGTGTTTGTGATAACTGTGTTGGTATGTAATACTCACTTATTCCTTTTGAAATGCACTTGGAGACAATTTGGGTAGTCTGAGGGATGGAAAGACATTGTCTCCGTTAGAGTGTAGACCCTGAATTCGGAATTCATTCATTGTCTAGGCCCTAACCTCTCTCCATGTGATTTTTATGCAACATGATCTTCAAATGTAAATGTCCTGGTTAGGTGAGACTTGACTTTGGTGTAACATTAGAATCCAGCTCTCGGAGGCGATGGGAGATACCTGTACCTTTTTAAGACATGTGGCAGCCATGATCTGCTGTCAGTGCCATGCAGAAGAATAGTGGCAGAGTGTTGGTCTTTGCTATCAATGGATACCCCATCAACTTCATCCACACATGCTTACTAGATAGACAACACCAAGAGGACACAATATGCCCTAATACACTGGCCACATTACCGTATGTCAAGAACATATTGGAACTGACAACGAGACTCCTGTGACCACTAGGAATCCGGGTAGTGCACAAACACAGCCACACTACGACAAACATTCACAAGGACCAAAGACCCCATACCCAAGACATAGGGGACCAACAGTGTACAAAATACCATGCAAGGACTGCCAAAAACATTACATTGGACAGACAGGAAGGAAACTAGCCATTAGGATACACTAACACCAGCTAGCAGCAAAACAACGTGAACTTTCCCACATTTCAGTGCACTCGGACAACAAAAGGCCATCAATTTAACTGGGACGATGTGACCGTCCTAGCTCAAGCCAACTGTAGACATGTATGGGAATTCCTAGAGGCCAGGTTCTCCACCCATAATGCAATCTATAAACATGTGGAATTAGACCCCATATACAAACCCTTGCAAAAAAGAACCAGAAATGACACCAAACACCTCAACAGACTGAATCATTTATAAGTACTAAGTGGAGTAGAACAACATTGCTTCATCGGAGGCCACATTGATGTTATCTAGGATGGTGACGAAATGTCTGGACTTGCTGACCAAGCTGGCTGGTTATAGTTAACAACCTTTTGGAGTTGCACATACCATTAACCACAGGCAAACAAGTTTCTGGCTTTCCTCCCCACCATAATCCTGCCATAGCTTTGAAAAGTCAGGTTTTTGTCTCCGACGTTCGGACACTGACTTGTGGTGTTTTCTCATCAGAGACATTATATCAAAGGTGGTTTCCTTGATTTTTTTTTTTGCCATTTGAAGGTTTTTGCTACAGTGCAGTAAGTTGGTTGGTGAACTCGTTCAGTATGTGTTGTCATCGTTTAAAAATTCTCATTCAAATGTTGTGTCATTACTTTCTGTTTTTGGTGTAAACATCATACCTTTTATTGCAATTTACAATGGGTTACACTCATCCAAACACAAAATATGGACACCTAAAGCTATCATTGTCTTGCTTGCTGTAGTTTAATATTGTGTAGTTACTAATTGTGGATAGTAAGTTGAGGGTGGTTGAAGGTTTAACTGTGTGGGGCAGGGGTTTGTAATTGAATTTGAGGAGACCAGAATTACATCAGTACCGGGCATATTGTAGTTATCATTGTTGAATGTTGAACTGGCGAACGGAAGCTGCTGATTTGACTCATCTCTAAACATTGCTTTGCAAAGTTTTTAGATAAATGTAAAAACACTAGTTTAGACAATGCCCTTGAAAACTGAATACTGCTCTTTCGTTAGAGTAGAAGTATTTGTCAATCCTGTTGTGCAGGTTGTATCAGTAAAACTGAAGTTGTGAAAACGTCAGTGAAAGCATTGGTAGAAATTATAAATTTACAATGTACTGTGCTTTTTAAAATATTTTAAAACTTTAGAATAGGAGCATTCTAAAGAAGCTCAGGAACATAGGGGCCTGGGAATATAATTTTTAATCAAACCATTCAGTCACCCTTTTGGAAGGATATGAAGACACTAAAGACTTCAGAAAAGGTTCACATGAACGGTTTCCGGATGAGCTTCAATTATGTGGATAGGTTTGGGAAGCTGGGGTTGTCGTCCTTGCGGAGAAAGTTGAGAGGAGATTTTAATAGGTGTTTGAAATTGAGGACTCTGTAATGTGTTGATAGGGAGAAACTGCACCCATTGATGCAAGGATCCAGATCTGGAAGACACCAGTTCAAGGTGATTGGTACAAGAAGCAATTGTGGTGTGAGAAGTTACTTTTAAGTAGTGTTTGGAGTTTGCAATGCATTAGACTGACGGTGGCAGATTCAATTGAGGCCTTCAAAAGGGAATTGGATAATTATCAGAAAAGATTTGTAGGACTGTAGGGTAAAAGCCATGAATTGAGGTTAAGTTTGTTCCTCTTTCAGAGAGCCAGCATGGACGTGACAGGCTGAAGGACCCATTCTGTGCTGTAACTGCTCTGATTTTTATGGTATTCTATTTGTAGTGATTTTAAGTGGTCTAGAAGTGCATCATTGCAGTTATTGCCTCTGGGTACAGTGCTTGTAAGTGGTCAGATGCCTAATGTTTTCTCTATCAATGGGCTCTTGTGCACAGTTGATGCATTTTTTAAAAATCTCAAATTTTAAACGCTCCTAAATAGTTAGTATACAAGGCACATTAGGAACAAAGTCTACTGTCAAAGTCAAATTTACTTTGTACAGTAGTTTTGATTTGGTTCCATTTGCATGGTATCTTTTAAATTTCATAGTTGATTTGAAATACAGTTTTTGCTTTTATTTCAGTTGAAAAGACTGAGTTTCAAGGTCAGTGCAATGAATGTTGGCTGTGAATGCTAAACACTGTATGAAGTGTCTTATGACACGATCCATATCGTGCAGTAAATCTATTTGCTAACATAGACAATGACCCTTCATTAAAAATGCCTGCCCCACCATGATGCTGATAATTGGGAGATATTCATAAAAGCGAACAGCCTCTGAAAAATAATGTCATTGCAAATCATACCTTAAAATTTCTTCATGAACTGATGTTAACTTAACAGGGCCTGTCTTGCAGCGTTTTACTTATAATGTGACAGAAATTCCTGTGTATATACCATTCCAAGTGTTTTTGCTTCAGAGTTGGAAAGCCGGGAACATTTGAATTAGACAGGAAAGTTGCAAGAACGTACAAAACTTTTAATTTCCCGTGTTCTTTTTCCTCCCCCAGAACGATTTGATCACCATTGTCCTTGGGTTGGAAACTGTGTTGGAAAGAGGAATTACCGTTTCTTTTACCTCTTCACCATATCGTTGTCATTTCTCACTGTCTACATCTTTGCTTTTGATATTGTACATGTGGCACTGAGTAAGTATTCAAGAGAAAGTAGTTGTGTTTGTAAAGTTATTGCTCAAAACATTTACATAAGGTTTCAGGAAGTCTGATCAGCTTATTTAAAGCTTTCTCTTTTGAAGCTTTCTCTTTCACTTTTGATCTCATTACACCAAATCAGACCAAATATTGATTCATTTTTTAAAAAAGAAAAAAATTCTGCTTCTGTAATATGGTGAATGAAACTTTTTCTTATCTGAGCATCCCAGGTTATATTCTGTCCCGTCATTGGGCAACAGATCATCTGTTGTACGTATGTGATATGTTGCCATATGCCACTCTACAAACCTGCAACCCAAAAAGATTGCTAATTTATCACAAAAATCAGGACCGCTTCAGACACTGTCTACCAAAAGCTACTTAGAATCCCGAGGTAATTATGTATAAGATGCTTTCGGGCAAAAATGAAGGAAGATTTTTGTTCTCTCCTAGGAGTGAGAAGCTATTTTGTGACCAACGTGTGTGTGTGTGTGTGTGTGTGTGTGTGTCTCTTGCTCTCGTGCGCTCTCTCTGCCTCGCTCTTTTATTCTCACTGTGGCTGTCTGGCTCTCGCTCTCGCTCTCGCTCTCGCTCTCGCTCTCTCTCTCTCTCTCTCTCTCTCTCTCTCTCTCTCTCTCTCTCTCAATTGGCATCTGCAAAACTTTTGCATTTGTATTTAACCTTGGTCGTGCAGTAAAGCACCCAATTTATGTGCACATTTTAAAATTATTTAGAATCCTTTATCTTAGTGTTTTTTCTTCCTATGTGTATAAGTTCTACTGGTAGGGATGCATTGGGACAATGGAACCTGCACGATAGTACACAATTCCAAGTCAGCCTGTTTTGCTAGTGACTTTAAACTTTTCAAAGCTGAAATATTGATGAGAGGGAAAAGATTCTTGCATAGTGAATGTTTATGATCTGGAATGTGCTAGCAGCAAATTAAATTGAGGCAATCAAAAGGGTATTAAGTGGTTATTTGAAAACAGAGCATGTTGGGGTTGCAGGGAGAAAGCAACAGACTGGTATTGGGTGAGCTGCTCACTTGGAGAGCTGACACAGTATGATGGCTTAAATAGTCTTCTGCAATGTAACAATTCATTAATTCTGAAAATGTAGGGATACTGAAATTGAACTTTGGTCGTTTTTACTTGGAGATCTCCCGAGCTGTGGAATAGTTTGTTTTACAATAGCCTTTGTTTTAATGGGTGGATGTGTGAGCTAATTTTCAACAAACCAAGAGTTAGATTTTACTTGTGGTCTCCTCCACAGAAATAAGGCAGAGAAAAAATATTCCAAGAACAGTTTTTAATCTAGAGGCTTGTTGACATGCTTTATTTTATTTATAAACACACGGTAATTGTCGGAATAGTTAAGCAAATACTGTGCTCCATTTATTTGAACTTTTTCTAAATTTAAAACTTGACCAGCAAAGAGCTGCCAGCTGCAAGTCTAGGCTCACATCTGTTTCTGTTTGGAATACTCTGTCCAATTCTGGTCTGCCTGCATGTTGTGAAACATGAAAGGATTCAGAAAAGATTTACAAGGGTTGACAGGATTAGAGGGTTTAAGCCATAGGAAGGGGCTGAACAGGCGGGGCTATTTTCCCTGGAGTCGCTGAGAGGTGACCTTTCATAGAAGTTTATAAAATCATGGTGGGTGTGGTTAGGGTGAAAAACCCAGGTCTTTTCTTCAGGGTAGAGGAGTCCAAAACTAGATGGCATAGGCTTAGGGTGACGGGAAAGATTTAAAAAAGAAACCTAAGGGGCAACTTTTTCAAAGAGGACGGTACATGTACGGACTGAGTTGTCAGAGAAAGTGCTGGAGGGGGGTACAGTTAGATTTTAAGAAAGCCTCGATGTGCATATGACTGGAAGGGTTTAGAGTGATATGGGCCAAAAGGGACTAAATGAGTGGGGAATATCTGGTTGGCATGGATGAGTTGGACCAAAGTGTCTGTTTCCATGCTGTACATCTCTATGCTTCTGTAACTATGTTTAAAACAAAGTTGGTTGCTCTTCATTTCTCTTTTGCCTTGTATGACCATCTAAAATAGATCAGAAGTGAATACAAAAAGTAAGTGCTCAGTTGGCCTGTGGGCAGAGATGTGGAGTTGGTGTTTCAGGCCATTGACCTTTCTTTGGAATGCATTGGGAGCTCTGGAGGGAAGGTGGGGTGGTGGGGGGATAGTGCATGGTATGATCTGCCTCCAAAATCCCCAAATTATCCGAGAAATTCCACCTATGGGAGTGACCAGAGAAATATTGCCCATGTAAATAGGGTGAAAGGAAATGAAGAGCCACTGCTCCAACCACAAGCTGGTTCTGTCCGTTTCTGCAGAAAGCATAAATAGGAAAGAAGCAGTTTGCAATTGGAGGGGCAACGTGAGTGGTAGCGGTCAGCAAGGTTGAAGGAAGCAGAAGTGAGAACAGCAACGGAAACTGCTGGCAGGGGAGTGCAACTAAGGGAGGCCCAGGAGTGAGTCAGGGACTGGGCTGTGGTGGACAGTTGAGGTTGGGAATGGGGAAATGTGAGCCCTGACCGTATTATTATTATATGGCTGTTTATTTGGCATTTCAAGAAAAGCAGGACTATTAAAAGACCTCTCAAAAGGGAAAGGTCCATATCTTAATTGAAATTGCTGAAGGGGTTAGTCTGTTTGCATTATATCTAGTGTTCCAGCAGTTGGGATTAAAGTTAGTGTTGAGTTTTCTCTGTAACTAATATGGGATTTAAAGTGACAGCAATGTGTGGAGATACCTGATTTTTTTATGGCTTCATAGAATATAAGAATGAAACATTGTGCCATTAAAACCCAAACACAGCATTCAGCTTGCCCCTGAGGACTCCAATATTACTGAAGTGATAAATGTAGTGAGAAAAAGAAACCGCAGATGCTGGAATCCAAGATAGCCAAACAGGAGACTGGAAGAACACAACAGGCCAGGCAGCATCTGGAGGAAAGGAGCAGTCAATGTGTCGGGTATTACCCTTCTTCAGGACCTGAAGAAACATTGACTGCTCCTTTCTTCCAGATGTTGCCTGGTCTGCTGTGTTCTTCCAGCCTCCTGTTTGATAAATGTAGTGGCCTGGATCTTACACTCTAGCAGCAAAGGAATTCTGCTTGCTGCTTATTATGCTTAGATGTCAACAGACTTGTCATGGGCTTTTTTGTGTCTATCCATTGTTTTGCCAATCAACGATATTCTAACTAAAACAAACCGCAACATTCTTTTAAAAGAAAACTTTGCCCCATCTTCCAATGTGCATTCCATTTATGTATTTAAAAACTTCAGGATTCAGATCTTTTCCAAATTATCGGTCTTTCTTGAGTTATAATGTGTTTGTGTACCACATTTTGTTGAAATCTGTCTTTTTTTTTGAAGTATGTTTACACACCAATGAAGAACATTTACTTCTTGCCTCATACAACAGGTGGAGATAATGGTTCTGAAATGATTAAAATTCATGTTACATTAGCTTAACCCAGTCTAGGGCTGAAGAATAGGAGTTCTATACTATTTTTTTGTGGAAGGAGCAGAAATATCTGTACTATCTGTCTAAGGTTCAAGTAATTATGCCTGACCAAATGTAGTTGCACTTCTTACCATGCAACAAACCTTATCTAAAGTGCTACAGCCTCTCCTGTAGATAGGTAATGTTGGGATATCCTCTACCTCAAATATTTAGATAAGCCCCAGACAAAGCAAGGATAGAGGAGGATTGGTGACAGCAGACTATCTCAAACAGCTCTCACTCTGTCCCACTTTACCAGTAGAGGTGACAAATACCAAGAGGTACCTGGAGTGGTCATCTAGGAAATACCACACAACCACCTTCAGAGACTAGGTAATTTGAAGGTTTGTTGCCAGTGAGGTAGTTTGGAAGTAATTAAAACTCATCACACTATTTATAGTACAAGTCATATATTTATAGGTACAAGTCATAATGTTTTCTGGTATGAAACAAAAACCTCTTCATCTGAGCTATGGGTGTTTCTCTTTAAACTTAAAAACAAACTCCAAGTCTACACATTTCCAACTGACCATGCAAAATGGGTCACCTTGTTAAGTTGTAAAATCCTGAAGTAGACACAAGCCCATTAGGCTGCCAAAGCAGCCCTCCCAAACAATTATAAAATAAATCACCTTGGCTAAAGAAATACTTACCAGCTCATTTATTGTTTTTGGTGTCTGAAATGATTGCATTGCTAACTCAAAATTCAAAACCAAACTTCTACATATTTCTAATATTTATTTTTGTCACTATTTGTAATAGTGAAAATAGGATATCTCTCAAATTACTAAATGAGTGGTTTTATCAGATTAGTTTATCTTGTTCAAATTTTCCCATGATTTTTCAAGTGTACATCAATGGACTATGTTTGTATTCATACTTGAGTTTAGAAGTGAAAGGTGTTCTCTTATCCTTAATCGGTCAAATGTATAAATTTAGTTATTGAATCAATCGCATAAAACTGTGATCAAGTGCTCATTGAATTACAGTTTACACCAGAAACTTAAAACAAGTACCGTACCTCACCAATTAGTGATAATCCTGATCCGTCTGCCTTTGGGACCACAAACTCCTCTTCCTAGTCTCTAATGCGATGCCATTTCCATGCTGCTGCAGACTTCCTTGAAGTTTAATTGTGCCTGAGCCTGGATTCTAAAAATGGTGCTGTTTTTACTATTATTCCTATGAGCCTTTTGTGATGACATTTACGGACTGGGGGAAGTTCTTTTATGTTGTGCACACTTTTTTATATCTTTTGTCTAAATCTGTCAAATTTAATTTCTGAAGGAATGCCCTATAGGTCTATTATTTTAATGCCTCTTTACATCCCACCCCCTCTTCACCCCTTTTCCCCCCCCAAAAAAAACCTACCACTACAATTTCTGCCTCCTGTGAGGTAAAGCCTTTGTTTTCCTTTTTTGGAGCCTGTCTGTTCAAAACATTTTCATTTGTGTTTTTTTTAAACAGGATCTGTGGACAATGGTTTTTTAAACACTCTGAAGGACACACCAGGAACATATCCTTTTTGATGGAGTTAGAAGCATGCATGTTTCTGGACTTTAGTAAATAGTGTTCAAACCTGTTATGGCTTATAGGAATTTGAAGATTGCATTGCATGATAACATACAAAAAAATAGAAATACATGCTATAATTTCATAGAACAGCATTTTTTTAAACAAAACATTTAAGTGATGAAATGATGTAATGTATGCATTGCTGATGAGCCAAGGATGGATAGATTTGAGTGATTAGGATGCTAAATCTACAAATTAAACTCTGCATATTTCTCCTTTTATACCTGAAATATTGGACATTTGGTTTGGGATGCTCAAGTTGAAGGACATGATATTTTATATGTCCTGATTATATAGTTGTGATATTTTTTTTTAAAGTTGACCTTCTATGATGAATAGTGAATGACTTAAATTATGTAGAGATGGGATTATTATTCTGCTGCTCAAGGAAATCATCAGATGCCACTTTTCGTCAAACTTCTTTCCAAACTTATTCATCTGAATTTGCTGTTAATTGGCCCTTCCATCCTCCCGTTGGTTGTCTCTTTCCATTGATTCCTCACACTGGAGGTCACTTTTGTGTGAGGTAACCCAGTGCAGTCAGCATTCGATATCACTAATTCTAAACTGCATTTTCATCCTTACTCCTCCAAGTTTAAGGTTAGGATCTTATTGTAGAGTCAGTGATCTTTGTACGCAGATTTATCTTGTTTAATGCTTTCTTTCTTTCTGAATGTTTGAAATGTTAATTTTATTAAACAGATTTCTACGAATTTTGGACATCCCCAAATTCCAATAACACACGTTGGAACAGAGTCACAAGTAAAACATTATGATGTACCATTGACAGTTTTCACACTGCAGGTTTTTACAAGTAGCAATGCGGAGAGCGACCAGAAAATTGATTTGTAATGTTGGTTGTGTTAATTACAATCTAGGGTGAACTATAGAATCTAATACAGATCAATTTTCTAATCACTAGAGGTTGAGAATTACTGCTTATAACAAGCTGACACTCCCAATCTTCACTGGGGATATTGTATAAAATGTCCTCAATGGACAACGTTGTACAAGATATTATTTGCCATCTTGCTGGTAACAAATTTATTAAAACAGGTTATGACACGTGCTCCAAAGCAGGAGAAAAGTTCCTTAGACTGGACATTTGCACACCTAATTAATTACTTATGGTTATTTTATAGCCGCTGCTTTTCAGGTTATTTTGCTTGAAGCCTCCTCTGTAGTATCGGTTTTACTTTTCCAATGATTGAACATTGTTCTCAAGAAGAGATGAGCTTCCTGCTTTCCTATTGTAGATGCAATAAATGCTGTGGTGGAATAGTCAAGTTTCAAGCTTGGCTTAAAGAAAAATCACTTGGATTTCCTGCCTGGAGCATACAGACTAATTCAATTTTTGAGTTCACGGATCACAGTCAATATCGTTCAAACTTCTAGAGTGTTTCTTACTTGGGAGGAGAAAATCTCCTCTGTTTCTTCCTTAATTATAACCATTGCAGTTTCTACAGTCTCTTCTTGTAACTCCTGTTTCCTAATCTGAGCATTTCATAAACACAGCTATCCATTTTAGCTATTAGTTCGTGGTCTCCTTTTCCTGGATGTCTTTCTATTTAGAAGTGATCCCCATTTTCCCTATTCACGTTTCACATTTTTATCTCAGCTTTTTGAAAAACCCTCCATGTTTTTTTTGTTACACGACTGTAATTCTCCTTTGGCCTAGCGTTAACATTCTTGTGAAGGGCATTCAGATTCTCTACAGTAAATGTGTTACACTGCAATATTATTACCCTTGATTGATTGCCAATTTGATGTCACTGCAAATTAGAGTGCTAGAGATCTACAAAACAGAAAAAGGCACTTCAGCCTATCACATCCATGCCAATCAAAAATGACCAGCTAACTTTTCTAATCTCACTTTGTAGTACTTGGTCCATAGCCTCAAATGCCTTGGCATTGCAAGTGTGTGTGTGTGTGCGTGTGTATATAAAAGTTATGGGTGTTTCTGCCTTCACTACCCTTGTAGGCAGTGAGTTCCAGAGTCCCACTACCCTCTGCATGAAAAAATGCTTTCCTGTAGAACATAGAACATCAGAGCTGTACAGCTCAGGAATGGGCCCTTCAGGACATGACGTTGTGCCAAATGGGACGCCAAATTAAACTGATCCCTTCTGACTGCCCTTGGTCCATATCCCTCCATTCTCTCCATTCCATCCCTTAAATGCCCCTATCATATCCACCATTACCACTACCCCTGGCAGCATGTTCCAGATTCCCACCATTGTGTTTTTAAAAAAAAAAAAAAAAATTGCCCCTCATTGTATCAACACGACCCCACCCCACACCCCCACTTCACCTTAAATGCAAGCCCCTGAGTAATAGGCATTTCAACTCTTGTGGGTGGGGTGTAGATTCTGACCATCAACCCTATCTACACCTCTCAATTTTATAGACTTCTGTCAAGTCTCCCCTCAGCCTCCACCACTCCAGAGAAGACAACCCGAGATTTTCTAGCCACTTCTTATAGCTTATACCCCCTAATCCAGGCAGCATCCTGGTAAACCTCTTTTGCACCCTCTCCAAAGCCTCCATATCCTTTCTACAATAAGGCGACTAGAATTGAATGCAATAAGTGAGGCCTAACCAAAGGCTTATAAAGCTGCAACATGACAACCTGACTCTTGTACTTAATTCCTCGACCAATAAAAGCAAGGTGTCATACGCCTTTTTTTTTGCCACCCTACCTACTAGCGTGGCCACCTTCGGGGAGCTAGGGGCTTGAACCCCAGGATCCTTCCATTCATTAATGCTGTTCAGAGTCCTGCCATTAACTGTATACTTTTCCTTAATATTTGACCTCCCAAAGTGCAGCACCTCCTACTTACCCAGGGGAAACTCTATCTGGCATTTTCTGCCCATATCTGTAACTTATCTATATCCTGCTGTATTCTTTGACAACCTTCTACACTATCCACAACACCACTGATCTTTATATCACCCATCTACATTTTCATCCAAGTCATTTTTGTATATCACAAATAGCAAAGGTCCCAGTTGTGGAACACCACTAGTCACAATCTCCAGCCAGATAAACACCCTTTCACCACTCCCCTCTGCCTTTTATGGGCAAGCCAATTGTGAATCCAGATGCTAAGTCACCATGGGTCCCACGCATCTTAATCTTCTGGATGCGCTCCTCCATGAGGGACCTTGTCGAAAGCCTTACTAAAATCCATGCAGATAACATCGACTGCTTTACCCTCATCAACCACCTTTGTCACCTCCTCAAAATTCAATCAAGTTAGTAAGACATGACCTACCCTGCATAAAGCCATGCTGATTGTCCCTAACTAGGCCATGCTTTTCTAAATGTGCATAAATCCTATCCCCAAGAATTCTCTCCAATAGCTTCCCATCTACTGATGTGAGACTCACCACTACATAGTTACCTGGATTATCCCTATTTCCCTTTCTTGAAGAGGAACAACATTAGTTACTCGCCAGCACCAGCCCAGTGGCTAGTATGGATACAAAGATCTTGGTCAAGGCCCCAGCATCTCTTCTCTTGCCTCTCTCAATAACCTGGGCTAGATACCATCGGTACTGGGGACTTATGTACCTTAATGCTTTTCAAAAGACCCATTTCTTTCTTGATCTCAAAATGCCATGGCATATTAGCATGCTCCACACAAATCTCACTATCCTCCATATGCTTCTAGGTGAATACTGATCCAAAGTACTCATTTAGGATCTCGCCCACACCCTCTGCCTCTAAGCACAAGTTGCCTTCTTTATCCTTGAATGGTCCTGCCATCCCCCTAGTTATCCTCTTGTTTTCATCAATGTGTAGAATGCCTTGAGACTCTCTCTTTATAACCCTACTTGCCAAGGTCATTTCATGGCCCCTTCTTACTCTCCTAATTCCCTGCTTGAGTTCTTAATGTTGCCTCTAAAGCCCCTTACCTTTAAATCCATGTCCCCCCTCCCCCAAATCATTGCTATTTCCATCAAAGGGAAAAGTTTCTTAATGAATGATGGCAGTAAAGTAGGAAGTGTTTGGGTTCTGTGCCTGTATGTTCCTGCTCACGTGACTAGCTGTTTTGTTCTTTTTCTTTGTTTTGTTCCATTTTTCTTCTCTTCTCCTTTTTTATATCAAAATTCACCTTCTTATCTGTGGCTGCGATGAATGCGAGAGCGGTTGTGAGGGTCTGCTGTGGTGGCAATGTGGTGGGTCTGGATGTCTGTTCCTCATGGCCATAGTGGCAGCAGTGTTATCGAAGACTTCATTGGAGGATCTGATCCATTTCTCCTGGTGGCAGTGCGGCGGTTTCAGCAATGGCTACAGCAGTAGCGGTATGGTAGTTCTGGTTTGTCCCTCATGGCTATGGCAGCTTCGGGCAGTGACTGAAATGGCAACAGCTTGAGTGACAGTTTCAACGTCAGTGATTTTGTTGGATCGGGTCTGTCCCTCCATGCTGTGGTGGCGATGAAGTGGTTTCAGTGTTGGCTTCAGCAGTGGCAGAGTGGTGGGTCTTAGTTGAGCAGCCTTGGGTATGGCTTCAGCAGTGTCCCATAGCCGCTTAATAAACCCAAATTGCCATAGAGGGAACAAAAGACAACTTCGTATCAATTATTTCTGTAATTCCTGTGACAAAAATGGCACCAAATTGTGGCGACTTGTATACATCTCACTTTATTTTCGTAAATACAAGTGACAATAAATTGCTATGCTATGCTATTCTATTCTAATTCTAAGTTTCTTCCTCTACGATATCTGTATTCCTCATAATTTTATGCATCTCAATTATGTCCTCTTTCAACTTCCATTGCTCTAATGTAAACAACCCGGTCTGTCTAATTTCTCTTCGTAACTGAAACTGCTTCAGCCCAGACAACATCCTGGTAAATCTTCTCTGCACCCCGCAGTGTCATCCCATCCCTCCAACAATGTGGATTCTAGAACTGTACGCAATACACGAGCTGTAGCCGAACAAATTTTTGTTTTACAGTTCCAGCATAACCTCCCTTCTCCTAAAATTCCCCCTGCTTTGGCTAAAAAAGCAAGTAAACCATAGGTGCCTCAACCACTTCATTCACCTGTCCTGATACCTTTTTAAGGGTCTGGTGTGCATGCACACCAAAGTCCCTCTGATTCTACTGTTGTTCATGCATTCCTTTGCCTTGTTTGTGCAATTATGTGAAGCGATGCAAAACATTACAGCAATATAGTAAAGTGCTATAAAAGTCCAAGGTTTTCATTGCTTGTAAATAACTAGCTGTGAATTGATGAGCATTTGTTTCTGCTAGGAACATGCTTTAACAAGCTTGCATGGAAGTGACTGATTTTTTTCAAAAATAAAACCTTTGCATTTTGCTGTTTTTTAGGGAAAGGACCTCAAATATGTAAAAATGTAAGCTTTTGGTATCCCTATAAAATTTAATGCGGCTGTGCTAGATGTATTGAAATGATTTTTTGAAATCCTGGAATAGTATGTAAAAGAGAGCTTACGTTCATAAACTTGACCAGTAGTCAAAGAATGTTGTATTGGGCTGAGTTTAGGAAGGATAGCCATGTGGGGAGGTAGCATTGATAGTAAAATGGAACATTTATCCTTCCTTGAAAGCCTCAAATACTTTTGTAACACTTGAACTTGGGGTCTGGTTCTGTTTATGACCATGTCTGTCTGATTGTCTGAATCTGAGGAGAAGATTTGGCTACTCTTGAGTACTTTAATTTATGCAATTTTAAAAATGCAAATGTCCTTATTACACAGTATTGGAAAATAATTAACAATTACTACTTTGATATTAAGAGTTGCCGTGACTGTTGAGTCAAAATGCCATATCATGGCACTGCTGCTTACCCAAGTAATAGTGATTGTTAGTGCATTGTTTGAAATATTCAGAGCTTGCTGTTGAAATAGAAATGTTATAATTGTATGGAAGTGTATTTACTATTGATTGATCATTCCTTAACTTTTTCATTACGGTACTAGAAGTGGTAATCTGTTTCTTCACGTTATGGTCTGTGATTGGTCTGTCTGGATTTCACACCTATCTTATTGCACTCAACCAGACCACCAATGAAGATGTAAGTAATGTGTGCACAACAGGGGAATGCTTAGGCTTTGGGGCTGTAATTATTCCTAATCAATCAAAATGATGTCTATTTATTATTCTTCTTTATATTTATCTAAAAATGGCAACTTGCAATGTTTATTCCAAAGGCTGAATGTTGCCGGCAATAGTTATGGCTAGCAACATTGGTGATTTATTATTTCAACTTAATTATGTGGTAACTAAATTAAATATTTTTCTGCACTGTTTTATAAATACAGTAATGCTTTCACTTGACTTATTTATATTGGTAACATCTGAACAATGCTTTCATTTATGAAAGCTCCTCATTTTCAAAGGGTGATTTCCACACCAATAATGCTCAGAATGAATTGTTCTGAATCCCAAGACCCTGCTGTTGGATGAAACAGACAGAAATCCTTGAATCTATTGGTCCTGTAGATGCTAGCAGTAGACTGCAAAATATAAGGTTTATATGTCGTACGCAAGCACATCTTGTCATTAATATTAAAACTGTTTCAAGTGGAGTATGACAAATTGATGTAAAAATATCCTTTCATAAATAGATTTTAAAAGAAAAATTTGTACCGATTTATATTGATGCCAAAATGGCTGCTTTTGCTTTCAAGGTAATTCTACAAAACAATGTAATCATTGCTATTTTCCTTCTACAGTCTATTACTTTTCTATATGAATGTTGAACGCTTTTAACTGTAAGGCTTGCATTTATGCCTAACTTTTGCTTTTAAAAATATTGAATAATGAGCCAGCGAACAGTTTGAAAATAAGTATCCTATATGGCTAAATCTTTCCCAATCAGATTCCACTTGCCAACTATTCAGCACAGTACATCCCTTTTGAAATGTGGCATCTGCAATTCTGAACCGATGACTGTGTAAGGCACAAAGCTTTGACAGTAGCTCCTCTTTTGGCATTACTCCAGTTTTGTACTAACAAGCAGTTATTAACACAAATGGGAAATGTAATCATTGTCAAAATATGAGCAGTTAGACCCTGTATTCAGTATTTTCGAACACTGTTTTGACTTCTAAAATACAAGCCAAGTCTGACTTTTCATGTAGTCATCATTATTATTGGTTTTAATTTATTGGGTGATACTCCATTGAAGCAGTGTTCAATGTTATGTGACAGATGAAGTGTAGCTGTAACTAGTACTTTGATTTATTCTGAGGGAAACCACTGTCTTTAACTTTAAATAGTCAGTGCTGGTACATAGAATGATCCACGTGCTCAGATAGCAAGAATGGTAATGCTGAAAAATTGTATCTATGTAGCTGGAGCTGAGTGCTTAGTGTTTGAAAATATTATTACTTTCAAAAATGTTTTAATTTGCCTTTCACAGATTAAGGGTTCTTGGTCAGGAAAAAATGGAATTCATAATCCTTACAGCCATGATGGTGTGTTAAAAAATTGTTGTGAGATCCTATGTGGACCAGTGCCACCAAGGTAAGAAAGACAAAAACCACAATAGCTAGGGCTTCTGTAAATCAGAAACAAAAACAGAAATTGCTGGAAAAGTTCAGCAGGTCTGGCAGCATCTGTGGCAAGAAGTCAGAGCTAATGTTTCGGGTCGAGTGACCCTTCCTCAGAACTGAAGATATTTTGCACAGAACTTGAAATCGCAGGATAATGATAATGATATCTAAATGATATCCAAACTGCTGAGTAGGAGTTTAGCAATCTGTGTCTGGGCCAACGTTCATTTGGTCCACAACCAACAGCACCTCAACATTTAGTTACTTCCCTCTTTAGTATTTGAGGGACCTCCTTTACTGTGCACAAAGCAGCTACCTTATTTGCCATGTTTTTTTTATTTATTCCTGATTATTGTGATTTGAGTTTTTTGTGTTGGTAAGGTCAGTATTTATTAGTGGTGAACTACTGTCTTTAGCTTCTGAAGTCCATGTCCATGGACCTGCAGTGTTGTTAGGAAAATAGTTCCAGGATTTTGCCCTCGTGACGGGGAAATAACGGTGATCTATTTCCAAATCAGGATGGTTTGTGACTTGGGTGTGGAAGTCAAGGAGAAGCGTTACTGCTACTGCAGTTTCAGTGATACTAATGTCATTGAATATCATGGGACAATGGTTAGATTCTTACTTTGTTAGCAATAGCCATTGTCTGCCAATTGTGTGGCATGAATATTATTTGCCACTTAACTTCTTACCTATTATTGAGGTCTTGTTGCATGTGAGCATAGACTGTTTTGTATCCAATTTGAAAAGCCCCACTTCTGACCTTCTGGAGGAGGAAGAGTCATTGTTGAGCAGCTGTAGATGGGTGGTAATAGGGCAGTATACTAAAGTGCTCTGTGATGTTCTGGGGCTGGAATGATTGACTTCCAACAGTCTCATCTATCCTATATATAGAATGCAGCTCTAACCAGTTTTATCCCCAGATTTTCATAGCTGTAACTTTTGTTAGGAGTCACTCAAGTGCGCTCTGTTTGGCCCTGCAGTGGGATCTGGAGCCAGGTTGCCCTGTTAGTACCCAAACTGAGTATCAGTGCACAGATTGCTAAGTAGGTGCTGTTTGACTGTACTTTTGATGACACTTTTTCCATCTGTGTGTAGAATGATGGAGTAGTAATTATGGGTTTAGCTGTTTTACTGTTGGCATCCACCTCAATGTGGAAAATTGCAGTGTTGTAGCTATATTGGAATAGCTTAGCTAAGGATGTAGCTAGTTCCTAAGCACAGTTTTGGTACTACAGCTGGGATGTTCCATTTTGTATCCAGTAGTCAGCTATTTCGTTATGAATTGAATTATTTTAAAGATGATCAGATTACATCATCTACTTGGCACTTTTGACTAAATCAACAGGAGACTTTCTTCCTAATGACTGACCTAAACCCATGAAACTTCTTGCAATCTGGAGAAAATGTTGGGGATTTTCAGGGATGCTCCCTCCTGACTGTATAATCAGTGTGCCAGCTTTATCTGGTAATGGGAGAGTCTGAGGAATGGCTGTAAAGTATGGTGCAGTGAGTATGACAGTATGTCTGATACTCCTTACATGACTAATTGGTGAGAAGGAACAGGTGGATTGTGCCTCATTCAATGCTAGGTAGCCCATCTGGTTTCATCTGTTTTTGACTTTGCTGTAGCAGTGTGAAATGGCACAAGTGGCTTTCTGATAGAGGGCAAATAAAAGTCAACTGCATTGGCATGTGGGTCTGGAGTTGTGTGTAGGATGACCGGTTTCTTTCCCTGAAGTTTAGTCATAAAATCAGGTGGGATTTTATGACAGTCAATTAAGACCTAGAATTTTATTCCAGATTTATTTAATTGATTTTCAATCATTTCAATTACTGTCGTTCAGTTAGAATGTAGGGTATTAGTGCAGGCATCTGAATTACTAGTCTGGTCACATTACCACTGTTATGCAAGTATACCATAATCCCCCTTGTCATGCTTACACAATAATTAATTTGCTGCGAAGAACATTGTTCTGAGAATTTAAAAAGCATTGAAGAAATTGTTTTGAATTATTTTGCAGTTTCACGCCGGTCCTCATTTTTCCACAAAATCTAGAAGTGTAGAAATCTTCTGAGAAATAAGAAGCAAGTTATTTTTGCTGAGTAAGAACTGTCCATTGCACTGCCTGAGTGCTTCCTTTGGTTGTGATTTTTAAATTAAGGCAGTCCTCCTATTCCAGTGGATCATAGGAATATCAAAGACCCCATGACCACGTTCAGAGAAGAACAAGGAGTTCTACCAGTACCCTATCTGCTGCTCCTTAAAATGCCAGAAGTGATATGTCACTGTTGAACTTGCTGTTTTTGGAATTTTACAATATGCAAATTGACTGCCTGGCTTGCATCAGATTTTTTGGACAAATACTTTGACTTTGTGCTAAACAAAAACTAAGTGTATTTTGACGTTCTTCAATTTTGAACTGGACATTGGCAGATCACCATTGTCTGTCCACATCAAATACTTATAAATAAATCTTGTGAAATGTAGCTTCAGATCGTTTTATAAATGCTATTGCATTACATGTTTCAAAAGTAGAGAATATGGTGCCGCTAACTGGCAACACTCCATCCCATTTGTGCCACCAGTATATGCTATTGTTTAAAATTCTTGCTCGCACTCGCACTCACACTCGCAGTCGTGGTCTCTGTGTCATTCCAGTTCCTACCCTCACCACATGTTACCATTAAAAGGAAGTAAAAGGTTTTATTTAATTAGGAATCAATACCAAGCCTGTTTCTTTTTCAGTGTTCTTGACAGGAGAGGACTTATTCAGGATGAGACTGGTGTTACTGCTAACCGAATTGCAAGTACAGCGCCACCGATGACGGTAAGACCCAATTGACATCGGTGTTTTGGATACTTTGACACTCAGTTAAAAACTAAAATATGGGCTAAGAAGAAACATTGTAAGTCATTTTCATTCTTAGGAACAAGTTATGAGGTAAAAGCACAAAGCTGATTAAAGAAGCAATTGTGTGCATTCCTGTGGGAGAAAATTGTTGGAGATTTGATGGGAAGGATTAGGTTTGCCAGATTTCATTGCTTGGATGCAGGTACAGGCAATAAAATTTATTGAGGGGCGTTCACCTGCATTATTTGAGTGTAACTTGAGCACAAGCTACTCAGTGCCTTAGTCAAGGACAGCTATGTCGCTAATTACTGACATTTGAGGTTCTAACCTCTGGTTTGGGTTGGGGTTTAAAGATGCCATTTCAAAATGGAAATCTGACTGTGATTCCTCCTGCAATCTACACCCGAATAAATTGACTGCTGCTTGTTTTGCTGCTTATTTGACTCTACTTTTTGCACTTGCCTTCAAAAATTGGTGCACTTTAAATGCACTGGATATGGCACAAGCCATGGGCCCTGATAACATTCCAGCAACAGTACAGAAGACTTGTTGAGAACTTGCTGCATGCCTAGCTAAGCTGCTGAAGGTTAGTGGTAACGCTACTGTAGCAGCCAACTGTCAAAGTGGAAAATTGTTCAGCCAGGTCCTGCCTGTGAAAAGCAGGACAAATTCACTTTAGCCAATTACAGTCCCGTCAGTCTACCCTCGATCATCAGTAAACTGACAATACCTTCTGTCAACAGCGCTGTCAGACACTTGTTCGGCAATAATTTGTTCACTGACACGGTTTGTACTTTGCCAGACCTCATTAGTTCCTGACTTCTTCATGCAAGGTTAGCCACAGCAACATCCCAGTGGTGCAGTGATGAAATTCAGCATGAAAAGTTGTGTGTGATTTGCTGGTATAAGCAGAGAAGCTAACCTCCCTGTCTCACTTTAAGAGAAAATACACACCAGGCTGTAAGGGTATCACAATGTGCAAAGCGTGGGCTTCTGTGGAATATCAAGATCTGTAAAAGAAAATTTTTTGATGTCAGGTGTATGCAATGCAGAGATCGGAATAAAGGGAACCATATATCTCAACTCAATTCCTGTCCAGATTGAGGAAACATCTGTAATTGGATGTATTCATAATTACTGGAAAATCCTACTTGATTGTAATTGTTTTTTTTTTGATTTGAGGTCAAAGCTTATGCCTGACAGTAGCTGAGACAGTAGTTTAGACTTTAAAGGGCATCTTTGCAAACGTAGCATTCTTGATTAGGTTGTCTCTGAAAAATGTCCAATTTGTTAGTGATTATTTCAAATACTTATCAGAAAATTCTGGGTTTGGGCATCTTGCAACTTCCCAGCAATATCCCAAATTCATTGGTGAAGCTGAGAAGAAAGTCAGAACTATCAAAGTACTATTAAGGAAGATGAAGACTTTCAAATTGCACTTAGAAATTACAGAATTACGCCAGTGCAATATGGGTTAGCACTGTCAGAAGTGTTGTGGGCAGAAAGGTCTGAACTCTGATTCTGATTATCTTGAAAAGCAAATTAGGTGTTGCTGTCAGCCTTCCAGGCCTGCAACTATAAAGCTCTTATATGTTCCCACCATTTATCTGCATGTGCGTGGGCAGGTACAATGCATCATTTATTGTATGCTCTGGAATACCAAGCTCTGTTGACTTTGAAATTCATAATCATCGCCCCAAGTTTGTCACAAGAACTGCATTGCTTAACATGTGCATTTGTGCACATTCACTTTTTTAAAAAGCCACATTTTATTAGGACCGTTTTAATGATTGATTGCTGTAATAATTTGTTTCTTTTCCATCCATGTAGATAGTTGAAGGCTGCAATGGTAAATTTTCCTACTGTTTCTCTTTCATTAGGCAAGTAGAACTCCATTGATACCCAACGAACAGGCACCAGTAAAAGAAAATCCTGTGGTACCTGGGCAAACTGAACAGGATGCAAAAGAGACAGTACCATCACCTGACACGAAGAAACGACTTCCATCTACACAACCAGTGGACTTAAATATGCAGTCTGGCACTATTGCCCTGCAAAGGAATGCAGTTACAAAAGAAGCTTTATACCAGGGGCATACCTTCTAGTAAATTTTGTTCCTGAACTAAGTGCAAAAAAGACTTGATGCACAAAAAAGAAGTTGGAAGACAGTTCATCTAGCTAAACTAAGATGCAAATTGGTTTGATACTGCAATTTCCATCTGATCAGTATTGTACGTTTTATTTTACGAAGGAATTTTTAGGGTTGTAGCTAATGAGAAGTAACTGCAGATGAGGAATATCGAAGATAGGTTTCTGAGCATTTTGACCCTTTCAAGGCCAATTTACCCATTCGTGGCCAAATCTGTCTCTTCATAAATTACATTTATTATTTTAATTCAGAATATAAAAACACGTGACAGATGAAGTTTGCAAAAGATTTAACTAATCAAGTGTCTATTTATTACCCACGTAATATATTGTAACATCATGAAAATGACTGGCAGGTAAATATCATGTGAATACCTCATTTATTCTGAGTTCCAGGTGGGTACTATGCAAAACATGTCTATGTTTAGAGCTGACCAGTTTGACTTTAAATGTCACTGATTACAGGCATGTTACGAGTGATAAGCTATCAATTTTAAATGGTTGTGAGAAGTGTGTGTGTGTGAGAGAGTCTCCTTGGGTTTATGAACTTTATATTTAGGTTAAGTAACATTGAACTTAATATTCCAGGTAGAGTGATACAATTTTTTTAAAAGCCAAATTGTGAACTAATGCTGCCATTGGATGTTTTCATGAAATTACAATCTGACACTTGTGGTGTATGTTGTTTTTACTAGTGGATTGTGAACTGGGGCCACTCCTATATTAACATTAATATACAAAATACATGTGGCTTAAATAACGTGGCCAGGAGGAATAGTTACTATAAAATTAAACCTCTACATTCCTGTGCGATTTATAAGATGGAGCCATAGTTTCACAAGTCATTCTACCGTGTAATTGTAAATGATGGAGTGCTCAGGTGCAAGACAGCAGACAAAAGCGAAGTTGGAAACAGAATCTTATGGTTCAAGTTTGTTACCAAAATCACTCATTTGTTTTAAATTAACAAATCCATTCTATTTGGGAGTACTTGCTATGAGGGAATATTTTGACTTAAGGGAAAGTATATATAGTTTGGTGCCATTTATAATTTAATAGAAAAAATGTTGTGCAACTACAGTTAAGGTATACCTAGAAAATTAGGTTTTCCCTTTTAATTGTTGCTAATTAGACAGTCTTTCTATTGTCCAAAGATGACTAAAGTGGTTTCTTAAGACTACCAAATTTCAACAAAGACCCAAGAGGAAGCAGTGGCCTTGCCCAAAGGCTGAAATCCCTGAACTCCAAGCTGTGTTGGAACTCTTTTTTTTTTTTTTTTTTTTTTAATTTTAAAGCTTCAAACTGAGGCATATACACAAGACTGAGACTGACAAACATGCTTGTGCTCCTAATCTCTTCTGAGCAGACAACAGTGCCTTTCATGATACTGAATTCAACCATTTTGAAATTTATTATATCTTTTGGCGATGTGACTATAATGTGTTAATGGTAATAAGAATAGAATTGTGGTGTCAGTGAAAATGGTAATTCCATTTAGTTTATTTCAGTCATCCAGTTGTACGGAATTCAATTAGCTTATACATTATTGCACATATTTAAGTACTGCTAAGTGCTGCAATGGTTTTAATAAAGCAATTCTATTCCATAATTCTCCATGGTATACAGGAAGAACTGTAGTGCTGAAGCCACACTGACCCCAACGAGAATTTGATTTTCTTGTATGTGATTTTTGTTCCAAGTGTAAACCAGATTTTTGGAACCAAAATCTAGATTTTTCTGTTTAAAAGATATCAAATGTAAATGATCAGATGCCTAGAACTATATTGTTGCAGTGTTAAACATTATGAAGTACAGTAAGCTGTTATTTGGCATGCTGGGAGAATGGGTGGTGCCAATTAAATTAAAACTGCTGTTTGGTGAGTTGTGTTACTCTGACCATAACAGCAGAGGTTTTTCAATCTTTCAGGGGAGAGAAGCAGCTGGACAGTCGAGCCCTAGCACAGCATGCCATTCCACCTGGCATTTATTTTGGGGCAGGGAAAGAAAAGGCTGTCAATTTTTTTTTGAGTAGATTATCTTTGTTCAGGCTCAACAACCAAAACTGACCCAGTAATTTTCATGTGCAAAGTAGGAGCAGCTTCAGATTTATGACCTACTGTTCTTAATGCATTTTTTTAAAAAAATGATGTTAAAAGTGACCAGCTTTTGTTGTTTTAAACAAAAATATCAAAATTCTAGTTGATAGAGTAAATGTTGTTAATCAGCATTCTGTAATTTCATGTCGATGACTTTTTGTACTGCACTTGGTTATGTAGGAGATATAATGTTTCATTTAACAGATTGCAACGTTTTGAAGCACATCTTGCAAAGATTAAACATTAATCATGCACCACTTGGCATGCATTTGGGAGGAGCATCAGCTTTTCTTGCTTGCCATGTTTTCAACTGACAAATTTTGATTTGAATAGTGAGGTTTATGAATTTTACATACCTGATGACTGATTCGGACTACTTCATAGCTGGTTGTTTCAATGTTTTTGACCTAAACAAATCCCAGTCAATTGAAGATTACATAATTTGAATTAATGTCTTAAATAATGTAGTTTCTATTCTCAAAACACCAACCAAATTTAGTTCTATTTGACTGTTTGTGAGGCTGCTTTTCTTAAGCAAGAACCTAATCTGATTATTCCTCCAGTACTTTTTCTAAAACACTCTTTTGGCCAAATGGTGGGAAAGCACTTTAGAAGTTAAATTCCCTCTCAGTCAGTTTTTTTTTTTCATGGTGTCAATAAAGATTCATTTGAAACTAGCCAAATAAACATTTGCCCTAGTGACCTAGATTTGAGTGCAATACGTGTTTGAGAGGTTACTTTTCTTAGGGAATTTGATGTACATGTCATGATGAACGGTAACACAAATAATCTTCAATATTGGACCTTCTTTCCATCCTTTGGATCTTGGCATTTGTTCAATTAATCAGTGTACAAAATGATTTTAAGATCAACGTTTGGATGGAGTCAATGAAATTGGAGGGAGAATAAATTTCAATGAAGGGAGAAGAGTCCATGCTTTTAATGGAATGCTAATGCACAAATAGGTGATGTGAATTTATCTTCCTTTCTCTCATCCTGTAATCACTTTGTGTAAAATCTTTCTGGGAATTCTTGAGAAATTAGGCCTTTTAAAGTAAAATTTGAAGATTTAAAAATAGCACAGTTGTGGGCATATAGTCACTTCTAATTCTGTAGGTATCTTGGCTATTACTTGATGATGCTATGTGACCTGTTGGAATATCTTTTTTGTTCTGAAATAACACTCCAGTGTATGCTACATATTGGCATTGCACCTTTTTAATAAGGAAGTTTTAAATATTCAACTTCAATTGAGCAGATATTTTCGAAGTTTCAGCACTTTATAACTGAACAATTCAGAATTTTCGAGTCAGAGTCATCACACAAGGAAACAGACCCTTTGGTCCAACTAGTCCATGCTGACCATGTTCCCAAACTAAACAAGTCTCACTTGCCTGTGTTTGGCTCACATCCCTAGAAACTTTTTTATTATTCATGCATTTATCCAAATGTCTTTTACATGCTGTGACTGTACCTGCATTCACCACTTCCTCCCTCTGGCAGTTCATTCCGCACACGAATCGATGTGTTTTTAAAAAAAATTTGCCCCTCAAATACTCTTGCAAAACTTTCTCCTTTTTATCTTAAAAAAAACCCTTTAGTTTTGAACTGCCCCACCCTAGGGATAAAAACCCTTGCTGTTCATCTTATCTACATACTTCATGATTTTATAAACTTCAGTAAGGTCACCCCTCAACCTCTTACACTCTTTGGAGGGGGTCTCAGCCTATCCAGCCCATTTTCATAACTCGAACCTTCCATTCCCAGCAATGTCCCGGTGAATCTTTTCTGAACCCTGACCAATTTAATAACATTCTTGCTATAGCAGGGCAACCAGAACTGCATGCTACTCCACAAGAGGCCTGACCAGTGTCTTGTATAACCTCAAAATGATGGTCTAACTTTAAGGATATGCTGACTACTTTGATCTGAAACTAAATTGCAAGGTAAATTATGTGTACTCCACTAGAAAGTGCATATTTGCATTTTATTTAGTACATTTCCCTATTCTAGAGGCTACAGTGCAGTGTTTTTAAAATTTGGATAAGGAAAGGACAGCTCAATTTTCTTGCAAAATATACTTGTATTTAGCCATTTGGAAATTAAATTTCCATTTCTTCAGTAACCAATATTGTAATTTATGAGGAAAATGTTTAATTTTGATAAAATCTAGATGACAAATGAAGAATTCAGAATCATTACAATTGAAAACAATTAGCTAAAATTGTACACCCTCTTTCCAAATATTTTCCCTCTAGTGCTGAAATCTGATTAATTTAAATTTGTGTTCAGTTGGTCTATACTAAAGAAAAATGACTGTGACATTTTTGTTTTTAGTAGCCCAATCAAATTATCTCCTTTAAAAGCTACCTCCAATAATCTTTTTCTTCCAGTGATGACTGTGCATTCTTCGTCCTACCTGATCATGCCCTTTTCCTCTTTGCAAAGTTATCCTCTTTTTCCTCTTGTTCCAGGCCGTCACCACCATCACCAAATATCATCACAGTTCAGAGATGCACAAGATCCTCAATCTTAAAATCCTTGCTGCTACTCTGTTTCAGAGGTTTTCTCATCCTTTTGTAGATTTGAACATTTAAACCTATGAACAGATAAATTTGAAGCAATAGTAGGCTATTTGGCTGACTAAGGCGGTTCGTAAGATCTGATACGATCATGAATGATCTGATTGTGACTTAAGCTCCACTTCCCTGCTTATGCCTGATAGATCCTTGACGAATAAGGGAATCAGAAAATAACCATCTCTGTCCTTTTCAAAGAAAAAATTGCAGTGACCCTGTCTCTGCTGCCCTGGGAAAGAAAATCCCAATGACTTTTTATTTTGTAGAATCCCTCAATTTGTACCCCTCAATGCTTCGCTCGCGAGCTCTCTCTCTCGCACGTTTTCTCTCTCTCTCTCTCTCTCTCTTCCACCCCCCCACCCCCATCTTGATAGGAGACATCGATTTGTTTTTAAATAGTATCTGCTAGTTCTAGTCATTCTCATAGGACAAACATCTTTCCAGTATCCACCCTGTCAAGTTGCCACAAGATCTTAGATTCTTCACTCTGATCGCTGCTTCTCCTCCTAAATTCCTTTGGGTACAGGCCAAACCCCTCCCAGCTATTACCCATAAGACAACTCTTTTTCTCCCCAGAAGTCAGTCAAGTGCTGTTTTTAATGCTATTATGTCATTCCTTAAATAAGGAGACCAAAATTGTACTCCGTACTCTAGGTGTGTTCTTACCAATGCTCTTTATGACTGAAGCACAAATCCCTAACTTTTAATATTCCATTCCAGTAGATGACAGCATTTCATTTGTCTTCCTGATCAATTTCTATACTTGGTATGATAGTATACCATCTAGTATTTTAAATTTTTTTTTATTCATCATGCCAATATTAGCATGTTCACATTTTCCCCCATTATTCCCACACTAGGTTTTTTTTTTTGTGTGGCTAACTGTTGAGCCAATCTGTATCCATTTTGTGGAGTTCTTGTGTCCTCTTCACAACTTGGTTTTCCTACTTATCTTTGATTCTTCAACAAATTCAGCGACCATACTTTTCAGTTCCTTCATCCAAATTATTTTTATAGCTTCTAAATAGTTGATTCCTGTTGCATTCCACACATTACATCTTGCCAACCAGAAAATTATTTATTTTTGGCCTACTTTTTAGTTTCATTTTACTTAAACAGCTCACTGTCCAAGCTGATGTGTTGCCTCCTACACCATAAGTTTTTATTTGGCATTATAACTTTTGTGTCACCCCAGCAAATGACTTCTGGAAATCAAGTACACCAGATCTACAAGTGTTCCTTTATCCATGTCACTTGTTTAGTCCTCAAATAAATCTAGTCTTTTAAAAAAAACCAAACCTTTTTTAAAAAAACATTAATGCAGTCTGTCAGAGACATGGTTTTGTGAAAGGGCAATTCATGCTTGACTAAGATCTCTTTAATACTAGATTCCAGCATTTCACTTATGCCAGATTTTAAGATGTTTTCATTGTCTCCTTTATGGTCCCTTTCTATTTTGCAGCCCATTTATCTCTATCTCACTCCTATCTCTCCCTATTTTAGTCAGTATTCCCATCTTCAGGTCTTGCTGGTAGTCTCTCCAGCTTGTGCATTATCATTGTGTGATTTCCCAATTTTGCACAAAGTGCCACACGAAGACTTCTACATTCTGCTCTGAGTAAGGAATGTTCTGGTTGGAAATAACTTAAGTGTGTAAATTCCTATTGCAAAGTGCAGCAGTGTAAAAATTGTTTAGTGAAAATGAGGGTGAAAGCTGGAGGGACACTTGTGTTCATCCATGAAGTAAATGGAAAATTCTGACTGCCTGTAGGGAGAAATGTGTATGCAGAAGTTTACAACCAGCTCCTGTTCATCTTTAACTGGTTTAATTGTAGTAAACATGAAAAGTGTTTCATTTTTAAAGGAGTTAATTCCATTTTACAATGGCACTTTTTTGGAATTACAAAATGCTGGGTTTGAGGTTCATCTAAATATAGGAGAAAGGACTTCTATCTAGTAGCAGCATTGCATTGGGAAAGAGACTGCCTGCGCTTTGCGGTTGGATAGTTTAAGTCTTCACGTGATTTCTTATTAACTATTTTTCACCGGTTTTGTTTATGGTCAAATGAGAATCTTGAAGTCCTAAGTTTTCAATACTCTAAATGTGAAGCTTGACAGAAATAAATTTAGTTTTGCCTCATCTCTATTGTTTCAGTGGTACTGAACTGTCTTTAAGGTTTTTTTAATGCATTGACTTTTGCTTGATCACTCAAGAAAACATTATTTGAGGGGAATACAATGGCTTTGAGTGTAAGATATCAGAATTTTACTAAATATATTCAGACACTTGTTATAAAGTGTGAATTTAAAATATTTTATCCCGCACAGATTGGAACTGTTTTAATATTGAACCTAAACACCATGCCTGCTATGCTGAAAAGGGCTCAGTCAAGTTTTACTTGTAATGAAGAATCTATCCCTATCAAAGGTTTGACTGGGAATATTACATCATCTCATAATACTCATTACTTACATTTTTGTTCTTTTGGTTAATTTTGAAAACTCCTTTTCAAAGCAGCAATGGTTTTTAGCTTTTTTTTAATGAAAGCGTACTTTTGGAATGTACATTTTACAAACATTGGGTTTAGCTGATCGGAACACTTCATTTTAAAAAAAAAAAATACATGAATTATGAAGAAATAAAGACGAATTTCAAAACTGCTGGAAACATGAATAAAAATAGACAGCAGGTTTAGTCAATGTTTGTAAAGATCAGCTTAAGTCTCAGGTAGGACCCCTCAGAATTGTTGAGTTACTTTGGACAGTCCCTTCGGAGTCATTAATATTTTTTCAACTAGATATATTCCAGCAATATTTCCAAGACTCTAATGCAACAGACTCCAGACTGCAAATGTGCAGCCACTCCACATTCACTCAGTATTTTCATGTGGGCCAAGAGAATGAGGAGCAGAATCCCAATCATTGGCTGAGACTGACCCTATTCCTTCAGATGAGTTGGTAGTTATACAGTGTTTACTCTTGCTTCAATGAAAGGATTTACAATCTGTACACCACTCTCGATATAATTCAACGTTTGCTGCACTTTGTTTGCATAATCTCATGCAAACAAATGCAGATTTATTCATTAGCCTTTTTTTTTCAAATACTTGTCTGCCTTTGGTATCTGAAGATCAGAGTAATTAAATTAAATATGCAAATTATATTTTATCACCTTCCTAGATAGTAGTTTGTATGTTCATTTTAATTAGTTTTCATAGCTATACATGTCTGAAAATAGGATCTTCAGCGGCTTTCGCATTCCTTTTCTAGACGACTCATTGCAATTAACTATTGACTCTTCTCACTACTGTAGATTCATACTGTCTGCTTGTTTGAATGGGGAGGAGATGGGGGAGTTTTTAACTAACTGGACAAAACGTTGCATTTCAATTCTGTTTTTGTTGCTCATTATTCTGGTAAGTTTTTGTAATGTAATTTAAATCATTAAAAAGATGTTGCTGGTACTCAGTGCTGCTATGACCTGTAAATAAAGTGAATGTTTTCTAGAGAAGAATTGTTTATTTGAAATGTAGCAAGAACAGTGTTTAGCCTCCAACAAAAGAGGTGTTTTTGTTTTTTTTTGTATTAAATTTTTGTCATTGACTCATTCTTTCTTTTGTGTTATTTAGATTTGGTAGTTCTCTGAAAGTTCTCTGAAGACTTTTCTAAAAGTTCTACTTTCGGAGTATTGGTTGATAGCATCTTATGTATCTGGTTATTTCTCAAGTCACTTTAAAAATCAGGACTGCATTATTATCTGTAGTGAGAATTGAAATTGTTGCATGATGTGTACTGTGTTCTCAGTAATATTCAACAGACCCAAGATGTCTTTGAGAATGTTTTCCTTATGAAGTTCTAAATGTGTATTAATGGATGAAAGAAAGGACCTGATTCATGTAGTGCTTTTCAATCCAGCCAATGAAGTGCTTTGGAAAATGCTATCATATTGGCTAACAAGATTTTAGTTGTTCCGTTACGGTGTGCAAAACTGTAGATAAGAGTGTTGATAGTAAGTAATATTCAAGTTTAATGCAGATTAATTAGACATCATGTGCACTTGGTTTGTAAAACCTATTGTAGTCTTCAACAAAATTCAAGGTGGAATTTAATATTAGTCAAGGGATCATTGAACATAGCTGGAAGTGAATAGTATGGCAGTCACCCAAGATGTTTGGATAGAAGCCTGAAATACCAGCAGTGTGGAAGAGGGAGGCTTCATAGAATGGAACGTGGCAGGGAACGTGACATTTCAATGTCTTTGCCTATTATTAACAGGAGTTTTAGCAATGTTATTTTTAAAATCCAGTGAGGTGCATGGGATAATTTGTTTCCCGTGTCAGTTATACAATGATGGAAGCATAAGTCTCTACTTCTCACCCCCATGCATCTTAGCCTCATGATGCATCCGTTATAGAGCTTTCACTTTTTCTCTATTCATCTCTTCCCAACTTCCTCCCCAAACCCACCACCCTCTTCAACCTGGTGATGCAGAAGACATCATTGACCATTTTTCCTATATTGAACCCAACTACACCTACGGACGACACAGCTACTGACCACCTGCAAACTTTGAGATGAACGGCTCCCCTTGTGCTATTGTGGGGAACAGCACCTCCCACTGTTGTTGGAATACCTGGAGAGGCTGCAGGGAAGCATTTTATGAACCGTGAGGCTACCTTTTTATCTGCATAATGCTATGACTGAGATAAATGCTTCCTTTTTGATCCTGATTAATAGATCTAGATGAACAAGGCTAAGGAGATCTTCCTGATAATCTCTGGATTCATTGCAGAGAATGTGGTTGGGTCTGCACATCTGTTCAGGAGTTAGATTAAGTATCAGGCACTGTTCAGAGGAAAAGACAGTTCCTAAAGTCAGTATACAGGATGCTAAAAGCTCATTCTTCAGATCTAAATCATACTAGACAATCGACATTATATTCCTGCCACCAGATACTGTTATCAGTCTTGGCAGTACTGAGGGAGAAATGCACCCTCTAAGATGACATTATTGAGATGAGATGTATTCACATCCAACTTTAGCAGGTTCGAATATGAATGATCCCATGCACTATTTGAAAGAAGTAGGGGAGATCTCTCCAGGTCTCTGTCTACATGTTATGGGCTATCTTGTAATTTAAAATGTAGCTGTTTTTGAAAGCGTATGATCTGCATGTTGGACCTGTTTTTTTGGCCGTGAACAGTGCTTAATAAATTCAAGTTATTTCTTTATGAAGCATTTATTTTACTGACAATTTATTGGTCTTTAGGTAATGCTCAGAGTCCAGTGCTAACCATTGGCAAACACCACCCCTACCATTGTTAATTTTCTGAGCAAATTTGGACCTGCTTTTTTTGTTTGAAATATGATGAGTGAATCGAAGTAGAAAATTTTAAATGTCTATAGAAGAAAATGTGGACCTTGCATCACTCTAGAGAATGTTCAAAAGCAGCATTTTCCTATGAATATTGTTGAGTGTCTTCAAGCATGTATGAGAGGTGATTAAAATTGGAACACACATCCTCCTTTTATCAGTTTTGTTTTTGTGTATCTCCCCAGTGATTCCCATTGAAGTACAATTTTAGAATAGCTGGCAGCTCTCCAACATCTTAGTTGTTTGGCTGTTCTTCATGTAAGTCTCATTAGTGAGCCCTGATTTGATATTTGAGGAGGCTTAACCTGATCTTTCTTTCTTTTCCTTGTCCTTTGCTCCCATGTCGACTTACCTGCAGGGGTCAATGGAAAAACAATCCTGGTTGAGTTTTCCTTCTGAAGTATCACTTTTTTCTTTCTATGCTGAAAGAACAGTATTGTCTATTTTTTAAAAAAAAAATCTAGCCAACCTTTGTTATTTAAAAAAACAAAATTATACCTGGTTTGATGGATGAAATAGAGTTTTATAGAGTCAAACACCATGGAAACAGATCCTTTTTAGTCCAACTTGTCCATGCTGACCAGACACCCCAATCTGACCTAGTTCCATTTGCTAGCATTTGGCCCGTAACCCCCTGAACCCTTCCTATTCATATACCCATCCAGATGCCTTTTAAATGTTGTAATTGTACCAGCACTTTCTCTGGCAACATCCTTGTAAATCTTTTTTAGCATCTTCTCAAATTTAATGACACCCTTCCTATAAATGGCTATTCCTCTTCCTAATTCACAGCATTGTTTGTCCCCAGTTGTTTGTTTTTTTTTTGCAAGTACGATGAAAATAAAATTTTGTCATTCTGCACCAAGTTTTCAGTTCCATGCTATAGAACCACCATGTTTTATTGTTTCAGTACTCTAACCATGAGGACCATTCTCTTAATGAATTTTGGGCATTGTCTTTAAAATGTTAAATCATTCAGATGTGGAGGTGAACACTTAATGTGCAATTAGTTGGCAAATGAGGTTTGTTTTTGGGGTGTGGGAGGGGGAGAACATGTCGTGAGGTTGGTATTCTTAAGATTATATGAAGTAGAAAAGCAAAAATGATTTGAAGGAAACCAGTTATAGGCCAGGAATTAACAATAAATATTCTGTCACCTTGTGGGAAAAACTTGCTTGTTACTTGGCAAATATTTTTGAAGTTCCTTCAATGTAATAGTGCGTCTCAAGTAAATGAGGAAAGAGAATTTATCAAAGGTTTTCCCATTTGGATTTGAATTATTTAAAAGTAAACTGGATGATGTGTTATCAAATTTGTTCATATTTAGATCCATGCAAGGTTTATTGGAATATTCTTATGTTGGAATGACTGTGACTTTATTATACTTTTATTTCAGTTTCTCATGATGAGATATTCTAGGCTAGCAATGATTTGCATTGAAGGGTGTTGGCTTGGATCAATGTAGGATGTAAACTTGATTTGAAATTGCTGTTGCTTCAGGTTTCATCAAGTGCTATGAGAGCAGCTGAAGGTCTTTAAGTGGTAGCTGTAGTATACCTAATTCCTAATATTTCTATCTATTTCAAAAATTAATGTGCCATCCATTGCTGTTACTTGGACTTTTCTTGAATCTGGTGTGAAGTTATATTTTTGATCAGAAGCACATATTAAACAACCTGGTTTTAAACCTAAGGCAAAAAGATAACTTTTTATTTTTGCTGATTAGTTGCTCAGCAGGATCTAATCTAGATTGAAAAGGGGGCAAG